GCCGCCGCACCCCGAGGAGGAGCGGCAGCCGCGGATCAGCGAAAGCGGCCAGTTCAGCGACGGACTGGAGGATCGAGGTGAGTGGGCACCGCCCAGGGCCTCCTGGACCCCTACCCCGTACCGGGCTCATTTGATGGGTAGCGTGCTCAGGGCCTGCCTCTCCCTACTCGTGGGTTGAACCCTGGCGGGCGCTTCGGAGTGTACATGGGCACGGAACCAGGACTTCCCTGGAAAGGCGCGGAGAGCTGAGGGCTGCAGCCCCACCTCCGCGGCCCGTACTGCCTCGGTAGCGGCTCCTTTTTGCAACCCTGAGAAGCCGGCTGCCTTCAGGCCCACTCGGCCTGGGCCAGCTCCCTCCTCTCAGCCAACCCCAGCCCCTCCGACGCCCACTGGAAAAGTTTGCTGTAGCCGGATTCTTTCTCTCATTCTTTTTTCTTTTTGCCTTCGTCGTTGAGCGCTCCCGGGGGACTGCAGGCCCCGCTTATCTCGGAGGGACCTGGGTTCCTTACGTCCCATTTCCAGATCCTTATCCTGCCCCAGCCGGCTACCCGGGAAAACTTCCTCCTGCGGATTTGGCCTCGAGGTGTTTTCTCGGTGACCTCCGAGACTAGGGAAGCGAATCTTGGCCAGGACTGCCCTTGGACTCCCGCGCCCTCACCGGGACCCGGGTTTCAGTAGTCAGCCCTGCGGTGTGGAGAGGGGCAGAGGGTTGGGATATTTGCGGGGTTTGGGTCACTAACCTCATCTGAATGGATGCCATCGAAACCTGCTAATTCCCGCAGAGCACCTCTCCAGACCTTACAGAGTCTTTCCCAGGACACTGGCCTTACACTCCGCAAACACCCTGAGAGGCCGAACTCTACCTCTGACCTACAACCAATGTCCTCTTTGAGTTTGCCCGCATGGAACGCGAGGACTCTTCTGTTCATTCCCGCGTTTCCTCCATCCGTTTTTCGTTTCCTTCGACTTGGATTCCTTGCGGAGAATGTCCAGCTCTTGGCCGCGTTTACACCTTTTCTGTTTCTTGCTGCTTTCAAATTGGACTCCTTGAAAAGAATCAATGGTTAAACCGCAGTGGCCGAAATCGGATCCTTGCAGCCAGGCCCTCCATCGGGAGCCAGCGCTTTGCACCTCCACCCCCTTTTCTTGGAAGCTTTATTTTGTCGGCTCTGGAGGGTTTATATATTTTAGTCTTAGCAGGTTTCTGTCCTATTCTTAGTATCTCCTGTACATTTTTATTCCGTTTCGTGTTGGGATGCACGATCTTTCTCCGTTAGAAATTCTAAACTATAGCATGTGAAATAGTGACATGGAAACAGTGATTCCCGTGGAATCGCTAGAGATGCTCTGCAGGAACTGGAGCTGCTCGGGTTGCAATGAGTTCTGCACCTAGATTGCGGTCTCTCCCCCTCTTCTCACAGAACTAGATATCCTTTGAGACCTGACGACTGGTGAATTACCAGCGCCCAGCAAAACTTAACATTTTACCACAGGGTGTGTTAAATTACCTTTGCCCCTCTGTAATTAATAGTGTAGGTTTTAAATTTTTTTATTATTTTGAAGAAACACAAAAATCTGTGTTGAGCTTAATTTTGTAGCATGGTGGGTCATCTGTAAGAAATGTCCTGTTTCTGCCCACCGGGCCTGTTTCTCCCCACCCCACAAAATGATGGTGAGGGGAGTGCTAGGGTGAGTTAATATTTAGCATAATTTTGCAGCACATGCTCAAGTATAAAAAGCCTTTCTGAATTTATTCTCAAGGTTATTTGCCAGTGGTCAACTGAATTTTATTTTCTATTATATTGTAGCCTGAAAGCATGCACTGTTCATAAACTATCACTGTTTGACAGCATTGCATATCACACACAGCCTCTCTGTTAGGATGAATTCTGTCCCCCCAAGAACCCAGTGCCGTGTGCCATTGAGAGCTAACTGAAAGTCAATGTGACATTCTTTTGTTTGACACACTCTCAACAGCAAAGAGTTAATGATAAGTGAGTCATTTCAGATAAATAAATCAGAAGATTATCTGGGGAGGATTATTGTGATATTTTGTATTTGTGTTACTTTTTTTTCATGTGGGGTTTCATCTTCCAATATCAATTTTTGTTATCCCTTGGGAATGGTTTCAGTGCTGCTACTTTTTCCTAATGCTGAGAGGATTGAGGAAGAAGAAGTCTGGGCAGTTGGTAGCTGTGCAGCTCTCAGCCCTGCCAGGCTGGTTTTCTTCTGGGCCTACATACCTATAGAATCTGAGGGGATGAATACTCTTGGTGTGTTCCTATATTTAGTATTCTCTTTTATCCTAACTTTCTTCTGAGCTATTTGGACCCTGTTGGGGACCACTTCACACTGAAATGAAAGCATTGCTTTATAATCTCTCTGTTGGAATTTTGGAGACATTTTGCCCTTAGAAGTGACATGAGCTAGTTCCTAGACACCTTGCCATCTCAGAATGTCAGTACTGTGGTGCCATTTGGTTGAGCCTGTGGTTGAAGGAGCAAGAGCTCTGTGGTTTAAGACCTCAAAGGAATTAAACACACACACACACACACACACACACACACACACACACACACAAAGTAGGCCAAGTTTGTTTAAGACATTTCTCCCTCCCACTTTTAATACTCAGTTTTTTCTCCATTAATGTTTTCCCATCATTCTGTCCCAAACTTTAGGGTGTGGTTTAACCAAAGAGTAATATATTTTATTATTTCTCATTAGCTTCCTATTTATTAAAAATTCCCCTTCCTGCAGATAATTAAAGTTTGATAGACTCTTAGAAGAAAGCAATGGGAACTAATTGATACCAATATGGCTTAAACTTCCCACTTATATTTGTGTCCACCTCGGCAAAGGAATTGGTTCTTCATTAATAAAGGCCTATGCTTAGCATGAAGAGAACACCAAATTGCAAATATGTGAAATTTAAATGGAGTTAGAAATTCTGATATGAAGGCCAAGCATGAGTAGGGAGAATCCAGCCCTGCTTGCTCTGCTGGCCCATTCTGCCTTTCCACACTAGCCTTCTTCTACCTCTGAAGACCTCTGAAGCACAGCTTCCTGAGCACTTTAGGAATTCTCACCACATCCTTGTAACTTGTGAGTGCATATGCATCCAACATGGTGTTCAGTAACCTGAGTGGACCATTCACTTATGAGCCAGGTTGTTAAAGTTTTCATGTTCCACTTCTCTTTGAGTAGTATAAAGTTTTCCATTTTTGGTTTTGGCTACATTTTTAAAGGAAAAAATAAGCTGGAAATAAGGAAAACTTGGCCAGAAATGGGGGAAGTCTTTCCTCTTTTGGTTAGTGTTTCCATTGCAATTACTTCAATTAAAAATTTTTTAAAAATCTTGTGGGGAACGTACACCAAGAATCATATCTCGGGAGGGATCTCCAGACCTACTGATAAGAACACCCAACTGCCATCTTGGCAGGCAGTTCAGCCCATATCACTGTCATCTGAAACTCCTTTCAGGGGAGCACTGGGCAGGTGGGTGAGGTATTTGGATGGGTCCATATGTGTGGTCCAATTAGGTATATTATTGAGTCCAATTTGCTTTGGAAGAAAAAAAAATGTTATATGGCAGAATGGAAAACCCAGATCATGATTGTGCCTCTTGGAAAACTAAATTTGCTTTTAAAAGAAACCCTGTTTTTGCCCCCAGTGTATCAGCATCTTGAAATCATTCCTGTCCATATCCCTACCAAATGACCTGCTCATTTCAGTCAATACTTAAACATTACAGCTTTACTTCTCCTGAAAATCAATTGGGTTGGAGGAGAGGAAGATCTTTCCATCATTTGAGAAAAGGAAAAGAAATTATTGGGGTATGTGGGATTTGCTTATTTTAGGATATGACTTCACCTGGAGACCATGGTGTTATAGTTAACAATTAGAATGAGGTGTTTTTCCAGTAGCTAAGGAAGAAGAGAGAAAGGGATATGCTGTCTTTTCATTTGTAATCACCTATACCTAGGGTGGAATTTGACAGGAGTGAAGGTTTGTCTTTTTCCCATCCAAGTGCATTTGTGAAGGAGGGTTTGGGGAGACTTTTACAGTGAGATGATGGCAATGGTTCTTACACTTGCCGTTTGCATTCTCATCTAGCTTTTGATCATACATAAGCCCGCAGGTTTCAATCACTTAAACATCCTCTGGGCTGTCATTAAGCAGCCTTTTCTACACTGCCTCTTCCTTTGCTGAGTGTTGATACTTGGGTCTGGGAAATAAATGGAACAGAGAAGAAGTGTTAGCAGGGTCCTTGGTATAATTTTTGAACAGGATATGGTTTTGGGCAATATTTGGGCTCAGAAAAATGATACCCCAAATATGGCACTTTGGCATGCTGAGTCCTCTGAACCAAAGGACCCTTAGAAGCAAAATGTCTTCTGACCATCTCCTGCCCCTCTTCCTCCTGTTTCCCCTTCTCTTCCAAGGCAGAATTCCTTTTTTTTCCCCTGAGGCAGGTCACAGAAACTAGAGTCCTCTTCCCTAAACTCAGCCATAACACCAAGCAATATTACTCTAATTTCTGCCTGCCACCTTTCTGTGTCACACACCACCTTTCTGTATCACAGCTGATCATAACCGAAATTCAATGTGGCCACAAGATGTACCTTGTCTTATGATAGCAGATCATATGACCTTCATTCCAGAAGGGGTCCTGCCCCACACCCAAGAGGAAGAAATGCCATGGAGAGACACCAAGAAGAATCTGGACAGTCCTTGCTGAGTTCCATACTCGGTTTACTACCATTAGCACATACTATTTTGTGTAATCACATTTCTTTATGGTTGTTTTTCACCCAATCTAAGCATAAAAATACTAGCTTTCCCCCAATCCTTGAGTCTTCATTTCTGCAGGCTCCTATGTCATTTAGAACTCTGACTAAATACGTTTGTTATGCTTTTTTTTCCCCTGTTAACCTGTCTTCTTGTGGGCAAGTAGGCCATGCCCTTTATCATAGGTAAGGAAAAGTCTCACACCCTTCCTGCCCCCATAGCAACTAAAGGCTTCATGTGATGGCTGGTCAGACATATGGGACTGATATATCTCACACTGTGATATTTTACAAATGGGCCTGAGCTTTGGCTACCAATTCCTTCATTATTTGGAACTGGTGTGATAAGGCTGCTCAATCTCTAAAAGGAATATTGTGGGTTGTTTAGCCAAGAATGGCATAAACAAGCTTGTGCTTGGGTAGAACACATGACTGAAAATTTGATTGTCTGTGTAACTAAGAGATGCTACTTATGACTTATTTCAAAAGAGAACAAAGAAATATAAAACAGGATCACACTGAGGATGTTTTAATCTTTGGCCCAAGGCAGGTGAAGCTTGGGCATTGCCTGGGATTTGTCTCAGATGTCTGTTGTCAAGGACTCTCAATGTGCAAAACAGGAGACAAAAATAAAATCTGTCTTACACATGGCCTACCTAAGAAGCTCCCTCCTTAATTTAAGTGGAACAGTTTTACTCCACTTAAACATTCTGAGAATTTTTGATGTGTTCTTGGTCCAAAGGAAGGAGGACAAAAAAATGTGACATGTAATTTGGGCTGATGTTGGTTGTAGTTAAAGAAAAACAAATTGTGTATTTCCTTCTGTTAATTGTCAAAAGGTGTGGTGAGGGTTTTTGTAGTACAGGATTCTTTGCTTTGGGTAAAACCAGTCCTCCAGATGGGACTGTGCTGTTGGGTCAGGGCAAATCAGTTACCCACAGCCCAGGAGCCTGAATGATTGAATGTTGTACTGTTTTTCTGATGGAAGGACCTGGTTGGATGGAGCAGCATCTGCCTGAGACACATGAGTTGATGCAGGGGCAAGGAAATGATCTGGTGTAATATCAGGGAGCGGTGGGGTCTGTGGAGTTTTTCTAAAGAGGACAGCTGCTATCACCTTGCAGAAAATACATGCCTCATATTGCAAATGCCTGTGATTTCTCAAGAGATGCCAGAAAGCTTGATTTTTCATGTGAAATCTCCTAATTGTGAAAACACAGTGTGGGCCAAACAAAACACATCTTGGCCCACATCTTGCAATCTTTGGATAAGAAATTGTAGCTCTGGCTGTGGTTTTCTTAATAAGGAATCCTTTTTCCTTGTTTTTGTCAGGCTTACTAGAAAGCAGCACCCGGCTGAAACCTCATGAAGCTCAGAACTACAGAAAGAAGGCATTGTGGGTATCCTGGTTCTCCATTATTGTCACACTGGCCCTTGCAGTAGCTGCCTTCAGTGAGTATCAGGAGTCTGCTGATCAATACATGCTGGTGTTGCCTGTCTTATTCTCTAACCCTGTGGGATGCACTTTTGCTTTTACTCGACTGTTATTGATGAGTAAATTTTTTTTAGATGGTTGGATAGTCAGGGTACTTATAAATTAGTAAAATGGCTTCTCTTCTCTGCAGAGGGAAGAGGTATTATGACAAAGAAATAGAAAGCAAAGCTGAGAGCCTTGGCTTTCATCAGTATGCTGGTTTGTGGAAGTAGATTCTGGCTGCCAGCTGAACAGTGAAAATATATATTCTCTTGGTGGATGCCTTTAGCTTGGACTGACATGTGACAAATATATATCCTTGAGCTTTTGAGTCTAATGCAACAAGATGAGTGCAATATAGCAGTGAGCCCTCTCCCTGCCCCCACCAATTATATCTTGCATAAAATTTGGAATAAGATCGTATTACATTTTAATGAAAGAAAAAAATAGGAGGGTCTTCTCTCAAGTTTTCAGTGGCCACAGAAATACAATCCTTTATTAAAATCAAGGAAAACTATGAAAATGGAACAATTTCTGCCTACAGATAATCTCATTTGGGGACTAGGAAGCCCTGTGGCATGTGTATTCTCAATCAACATTTGCAGCCTATGGAAATGTGCATGTGCTATTTGTTCTTATTAATCATTCGATGATTCACAAACCCAAGTAGTGACAGCAACCGCTCAACCTTAGTAGAATCTATGCTTTCTGTTTTGTATTTTTTTAATGATGGGGAGAAGAAGGATGTATTTTGTACATTTTATGATAAATTTATTACCTAATAAGATCTGTATTCCAAGTGATGAGCATCATACACGGTGTTTCAGAGTAGGAGAAAAAAAAGAATTGTGTCCATCAGAAACTATAGCTCTGTGTGTGTTGTTTAAAATTCTATTCTGTCAGATTGGATCTGCTGTTGCAAGGGATTGGCTCTCAAGAGGAAATATTAGAATTTGACCAAATGCTCCCTGCAAAACTAGACATATATTACTTGAAACAATTTATATTGAAAACATTGTATCTTGGCTCTAGAAAAGCCAAACGTTTAGAAGCAGAGGGTAGTGCATTTCAGGAAATTTCAGTGAGCCAGAAATTTAATCATGAGGAATTCTGATTCCTGAAAACAGCCACTCCTTCCCCTTTCCTCCCTTTAAATAAAAATACTGAAACAAGAATAACAAGCTGATTGATGTCCCTGGAGGGTAATTTGGTTGTGGTGGCTGGTAGGGAGCTCTGGATCAGACATCATAATTTACATATGTATTATTTCACTGAATATCAAGAACTATGTAATGTTTTGAACAACCAACAATAAAAAAAAAGCAATGAAGGCAGAAACAAATTAGCAGAATAATGTTTGTACTTTTAACCAAGAAATTTAAAATATATACATTCAATTCTTCATTCTTTCTCCTAAAAGGGAATAGTATTGAGTCTGATCCAAAGTCAAATAAACTTAAAAAAATAATAATAATTTACATATGTAAAGGAAAAGCAATGGAATGAAGGGAGGTGATTTACAGATGAAATAATAGTTACTCAGACTTGTGCATGTGCCCAGTAGAGCTGTTATTACTTGTGTGGGTGTTTGAATGAAGAACTGAGTGTGAAGAAATCAAAAGCAAGTCTTTCTTTGGGGAGAATATTGTTACATTTGATATACTTAAATCTCACAATAGAGAAAAATTATGAGGAAATTTTGTTTTCACTTGTTATACTTGATCAGTTGTGTTATCTTAAAAATGTTGGTCCATTTCCTTTAGGAAAAAACTTGCATAATGCCTACAGAGTTAGGATGTTGCTTTGGGCAAAGAGTTTCCTTTTCCTTTTCTTTTAAACTTGATATCACCCCTTTGGTACAGCAAGTATTTAAATCTCTAACTTCTTGCCTAGAAAATATGGGCATTGGCATATAATATCATGAGCTGTGTTATTTTCTATAGTACATTTAAGTTGTCTTCAACTTCTGGTTTAGTTAAACCAAAAAATTTAGAAGATAAAGTTTTCCCCCACTTGCACTACAGAGTAGCTTCACTGTGTGTGTGTGTGTGTGTGTGTGTGTGTGTGCGTGTGTATGATCTCTATGTTGTTAGAGTTGTTAGTTTCACTCTAGATTCCTAAATGTATTTGTAATGTGAAATATTTAAAATAATTTACTTGTTGATAGTTTTTTTTGTAATCATTTTCATAGTTTAGAATGGAAAGAAAAGAAATAGGGATTAAGCAATATAACTGACTTTTGAAGTTATATTTGAGTCAGTGTCTAAAGGAAAATTCTACTTTTCAGAAGTGACAATAAATATCTATATTTTTTAAGTGTCCCAGAGAGCCCCCCCCCCAATCTTTTTTATTTTCCAAGGGAATGGTTGACAGAGAGGTAGGTGAAATGGAAAACTGGCTTGGTGAATCCCTGTCCTATCCAGTAAAATTATCAGGTTGAACCAATTAGCATTATTAAGAGAATTACTACAGATTACTGTAGGTGATGCTTTGGTGTGTCAGAAATGTCTTTGGAGTGTGTGCTACTGTGGATGCACATACATGTGTGTATGTCATGTGTGTGTTTGTGTGTGGCTGGTTGGGAGTGTTAATCATGATGAAGAGAAGTGGGTTGTATTTATGTTCATGGCTTCTTTCTACTGTTGGATGATAAAAAGTTGGGGGCATGCCCAGCGTCTATCTTTGCATGGAATCTATAGTCCAGACTGTTAAATAAATGAATTGAGAGAGATATTAAAAATCTTTTTTAAAGACTTGTTTGGAAGGAAAATATTTCTTTGAAAATGATAAACTGTACCTAAATGTACATTTAGGTGCCAGGCTTAGGTCTCAGTTTCAGTTTTTGAAGACATTCGGGTCATCCTGTGGAAATTATCTTGCTCAGGACAGTGTCTGGCAACTGCATCTACTTGGATCAGTGGGAATTGTTATCTTACCCTACTGGATTACCACTTTCTATTTATTTGTAAATGTTTTTAGTATGCTGTGTTTCCTCAAATTAATAATTACTAAAAGACCTATTGCTAGTTAATTTGTGATAAATCATTTGAAAAATTAGGAGGACTTTCAAAGTTTGTGACTTGAAAGTGCATTGAATGATATGTGAACTATTTTTGATAAGCCTTGGTAATACAGTGATTTTGGCCTGTTTGAATGCTGATATAAAACCAGATGGTAATGTATCTTGGAATATTTCAGACAGGGCCTAGTTTGGTTTTAAAATTGATTCTGTTTATAATCGGCAGGCAGCATGGAAAATGGCAATCCTGTTATGAACAACTGTGGAAAAATATCTGTTTTAATAATGAGGCTAGAGAGAGAACAGAAGTTCAGTTTCAAAACTCAGGGTTTTGACATTATTGATGTCTTTATTAGAATGATTGAGGAAAATATATTCTGATTCAATTTTTAAGGTTTGAGTACAAGTTAATTTTTAGGCACTCAGTGCTTGTTCTGTGGGAAATGAAGATATATTTGAAATATTCTCAGGGGAATGCTTTTCTAAAATACATAGCTCCATTAAAGAAAAGCACTCTAGACCAAAATCATCTCAGAAAAAAACCCACTCAAAAATTGAGTGCATCAGTGGATTTAAGAATTAGAAAAAAAAATCTTTGAAAGGTGTGATTTTCTTTTTATATGTGGGGATATAAAATAATTTATTCAATTTTAGTATAAATTCTTAACCTTAAAAATGATAGAATAATGTGCAGTTATTCTAAAATGTGAGGCCAAGAGTCGACATATGGATAAAATGAAATTATATGACTTGTTCATACATGCAGCAAAAAATGCCTGGTACTTTCTAAAAGGTTCTTTCACCTGGCAGACACATTGTCAGGTAGAAAAAGGTCCAGGACCTTCTGGGGTCTTTCTGAGACCCCAGAACTAACATCTGAATATAGTTATAGTAGACTTAAATCTGACCTGACATTTGGCCCTCTCTTCGGGGGATCCTTTACTTCTTGTCAGGACTGCAGTCCATGTCCTTTGATACAGCTCTGCATCTCCAGGGTCTCACATCATGAATTCTTCCTTAAAGAGGCCTCCCCATCCATGTGGCCTCATCCCTCAGAGTGATTTTTATCTATTACACTGCCTGTTTTCTTCCTCACAGTTCTTCCCTTTCTGTTCCTTCCTCCATTTGGTAATGAAGTTTGTGAAGCCAACCTGGTCTCTTATGCCTGAGAGCTTCTACCTCTGAAATACTGCCATGAACCAAAGACTTAAGTCTGCAGCACACATTCTGCTTGTAGAATGATCCTTTGTGTTGTTTGCTGGTCTCATATTTACTGTTTATTTAAAAAAGCAGTGTATGCTTGTCATAACAACCTCACAAGACCGTGGATACTTGGTGCTCATCTCTGTCTCTCAGTTCCTGCTCCCCACAGACAGCCTTTCTCATCAGTGCCCTGTGGGGTCTGCAAGACATTTTCTGTAAACATAGAAGACCAGGTGTAATTCCTATATATACCTTCCAGTTTTTCCTACTGTTAGATATAGTATCCTTTTTTAAAAAATCTTTTTTAGTTGTACATGTACACAATACCTTTATTTTGTTCATTTGTTTTTATGTGGTACTGAGGATTGAACCCAGTGCATCACATGTGCAAGGTGAGTGTTCTACCACTGGGCTGCCACTCTAGTCCTAGATGTAGTATCTTATCCTTGCTGGTCTTTTAAACAGGTTGCGCTTCTTCACAAGTGACTGCTTTTGCTGTTTTGTATGAAGTGGAATGGAAGTGGAGAATCTTCAGGAATAACCTCCCCATGAATGTCTGCCTGCTGCTGCTGATCCGGCTGATGAGGCAGCGGGTAGGGGGATGTGGCCAGGAAGTTGTGAACCACATCCTGGTGATGTTTAGTGGGATAACTTGTTCCCTGTAAGTGTGTTCTTCGAATGATAACTAAGGAGGCAGTTTCTGAGAGGTGGAAACCAGAGGGAGGACCAGGCAGAAATGAGGTTTGAGAACCTCAC